TTTTTTTTCTTACTTAAATACAAAAAAACCTTAAAAGACTATAACTTTTGTATATAATAATAACCTGTTCAGGTGTAGCTTAGCTTTGCTTTTTACTAGGTACCTAAGATGTGGCTTTCTGTGCTGATTTTTTTCTCCCTTGCCTGTCCCCTGCTATTCTTGATAGGATCTCTGCATGTTTCTGTGTCTTACTTGCTCAGTGTTAATCAGTGATTGGCTTGTCACACAGGGAGTTTTACCCCTTCAACTTGAGATACAGATCCCTAAACGTTTTAGCATCTTTGTGTTAAACACCAGGCTTCTGCTGCATTCTGGATGTCTTTGCTAAACTTTGCTATCAAATAATTTGGGTGTATGACAGTGAAATTCAAAGACCTAGTTATAAACTCCTTTGGGATTTTTCATTCTTTATTTAAATAAATATCCAGTAATATATGGATTAGATTATCAGCAGCTGTTTTATAATGTCCTCATTAGTTAGTGAGAACAGTCTTGAAGTAATGGAGTCATTTGCTGCTTCAGTAGCTATTTCATAAATTTATCAGCTATTAGCTCCAAGAATAACCAAGCCTTTCCACTTAAGAGTTTGATTTGTTCTCCATTTTTGTGTCTGGGTAATTAGTCTCCTAAAATGATACAATTCACTTTATTTTTAGCTGATGATAAAAATCTGCATCCATATAAGATACTGATGCTGGCACAAATGCCTGATTAGTAGGTCTTTAAAAGAACCTGTTTTACCTACTTCCTAACTCAGAGGATTTGACCCAAGCAAATTTCTGTTCTTATTTGTTACATTTATTCCAGTTTGACAGGTCTCTGACACACATTGTCCTACTCTTCATTTCTTTTTTGAATATTGTCTTTCCCTCAGTACTTGCATTCTTAGTCAACTGCTGTTCCACTATGTCAAGGTTACTCTGTCACCATGTGCCAGTAGCTTAAACTTCTGACTCTCACAAACTGACATGAACAGATAATTCATGATACTCATTAAATGTACAGCTTAATTTTCATCATCCTATCACTTTGTAGATTTTATCCATTCTTCATAATTTTTAACAGTGTATCAAAACCCAGTGTGAAAAGCTCCTTGTAAAGTTTAAAATTCTCTGTGTTACTAATGCGGGCTGTATTCCAGAAGAGCTGTTTCCACAGATGCTTGAAGCTGATCTTTCAGAAAAGCTTTTTTCAAATGTTCTACCTCTTGGTTTCTAAAACCTTCCTGGTAATACTTGTCCCTGAGGTGCTCATACCTCCAGCCATGTTTCAGGGGAACTTGAAAAAATTAAGTTAATTTGGGAGACCAGTTTGTCAGATGGTATTCCTCCTTTCCATTGCTTCTTTCCCCTTCCCTTCCTTCCCCCATTTGTTAAGTTGGCAGGTTTTCATTTTGTTATTAACATCCCATTTCAGTTTTCTGAAGTGTCTTAGTTCTTTTAAGATTTATAGTCCAAATATTTTTTGGATCCAGGAAAGTTTTCTGTGTGGCTTTATAAATGCAGCCTTTTCTATTCAAAAGATTATTTTTGGTTTAATCCCACACCAATGTACTTCATTTTTTCCTTACTAGATACAATTCCCTAGCATTTCTTTATTAGAATTGTGAATATTTTTTCATCATACTTTGTTTATTGTTTGCATTTTGGGAAATGTGCAACAATCCAGTATGTTTACTGTCATAATGCACAAGAAACAGGGATGATGTTGCATGTGTACTAAGTGCATCTGGAAGCACCAAACTCCTGTGTTGCTTTAATTCTTACAAGTATATTTGTCTTCTGCTATCTTGACATTGAATCCTGCACTAGTAGCCCAGCTTCCAACATTTTTGTTGTACAGACTCCTGCTATTTTTTACATGTGTTTTTAAGTACTTTCTCAATAATAAAATCCCCTCCCTTTCTATCTCCTGCTTCATTTCTGCTTTTATATCTTGCATGCTAAATCTTAGTGTATTACTGATCCTGTGCCGTCTGAGGAGATGAGGTATACAGTGCTTTTGGAAAACTCCACAAAAGAGTATGACGTAATAAACAGTTGAAGAAAAGCACCAAGATCAGTGTTTACAAAGCCATAGTGTTGTCCACTCTCTTATATGGTTCCGAATCATGGGTCATCTACCGCCACCACCT